ATCTGAGGGTCTGTTTCAATAGAGTCTAGTGCTGAGCTCTAAAAACTTTATTTTCTTGTTGAAGTCATAGATTGAATGAACAGGTAAATTTGCTTTGAGATCTTTACCTTGAAATGTAGGTAATAGGTCTTCACTTTTAGTAACAGTGAGCATATCTGCCAGTATTCACAAACCGTGACTCATTTATTTGTTACATCACTAGTCAAAGCAAACTCTAAGTTGTTTCTCAGACATGGGAAAGCCCACTCAGCTTTTCTAGGTACCTGCTTCTCTTTTATTTTTTTGGATGGCTGATGCGCTAAACTCTGTTGCATCTTGTGTCAGGCAGATAAAAGGTTTACAGGCAGTAGCTTCTCTGCAGTACTTTTTTTTTTTTTTTTAGTTGTTATTGTTCAGTCACAGACAGTACAGTTCATAATAAAGTTTATATTACTTGATTTACTCTTTCACTTGTCTTATAAACCCCACATTATCAAATGATAGGAATTTGAATGTCCCACCAACTCAAATCTCTCCTGCTAACCTTTAAGCCAACAAAATCCATTTTTAAAAAGAATTCAGAACTCATTCTAAGAGCCTATGGGGCATTCTTCTGGACCATAGCAATTCATAATGTTCCCTTTTTCTGAGGGAACTGCACTGAATGGTAAGAGATTAACCCGAAAAATGTTCTTGTTTTTTTTTTCCTGAAGAGCATAATCACCACTAGAAAAAACTCAACTTTTAATAAAGTGGTATAAAATCTTTTTCTGATAGGTTTCTCTACATGTATTTAATTTTACAAATAAAAATGGCACTGCCATTCTTTTTAAATACTGGAGATAGTAATTTAGAGCATTTTAATAGGCCATTAAATAATATTAAAGGTTTAAACCTGAAGGGCAAAATTTTTATGTTCTTTTAATGTAAGGATTTATTGCATTTGCATCTTTTTTCAGCTACAGACACATTGTTAAGGTGTTGATACTACATTTTTGTCCTTGTCTTTTTGTTTTTCCTCTCTCTTCCTTGTTCTCTCTTTAATTTTCTTTTGAAAAACCCAATTTTAAGGGCATAAAAGATATCCAAAATCATGAATGATTTTAGTGGATTTGAAAGGGACCTTTTCTTTTCCATCCCTATTGTGACAGCAACTTCAAGTTTGGGGACTAGTATTTTCAAAATCATAAAGGCAAAAAATAGTCTTTGTGGGCTATAAATATAGAAAACTGTAGCTACTGGGAAAGAAAAAAAAATCAAATTTATACTTTTTAAATGTTCTCCCTTTCTGAATTCTGGAACACAGTTACTTCTCAGGAGAGTTGTACTGTACAGGGAAGGCCTGGTTGGCTTTCCTTTATTTCTTTTGTTTGGTTTTCCCTCTCCCCAATAAGTAGGACGAAAATAGTTTATTAAAACCTGCTGGGCCCATACTTTAGCAGAGTTTTTGTAGAATTACAGTTTGTTCTAGGGGTTTTGTTTCTATTCTCATCTTTATTTTGCTGTATCCCTAACAAGTTAGGGCATTCCTTTGACTTATGGGGATGCTGACTTCTGAGCATGTGCAGAATGTATACTTCGGTTAGGATACTCATGTGTGAGGGAATTGGGAGGCAGGAAATAGTCAAGACCATGGCCAACTCATTCCTTTGAGTTCTAATTTTTCTAGTTATAAAATAAGGGAGTGGGGCTAAAATAGCCCTAAAATTCATCCCAACTTTCTTCTTACTGTAGTGCTCATAATCCCTAACTTTGAACTGCTTGATATGGACTAGGAATCTATGTGATCTTTATAAACCCAACAGGCAGATACCATTATTTTCTCCATTTTACACATAAATCTTTGAAAAGATGGTGGACTTCCCTACAAAGATCACAGAGCTACTGAGTAGTAGACTGGAGTTTCATTCTGTGACTATCTGATATCAGTGCTTTTCCCCCTACTGTGCCTGCTGCTTATCAGAAAAAGTTAAAGTCAAATGGCAACCGTTTTTGTTGAGGATTTGCTCTATGCCAGGCGGCATACCATGCACTGTATGCACAAAGCCCTGTAATGAAATACTACTCTCTTAATTTTGCAGATGAGGAAATTCAGGCTCACAGGTTAATGAACTTGTCCAAGAACTATCTACTGGTAAATGGTAGGGAGAGATTTGAATCAAAATCTGCCTGTGATGAAAGCTTTCACTCTTGCATGCCCATTAGGAATCTTAGCTTTTGAAGTCCTGGTTGGGAAAAAAAAGAGAAGTGCCTCCCACTTAATAGGAGGCATAGCTGTCCTACTAGCAGTTGTACCCCCAAAACATTTGTGTTTCTGGATCAGAGATTGTATGCAAGAAGGTCGGAGTGGACAGCAATGAAGCTTTGCCGTGATGGTAGGGACCAGAAGTCATTTACCAGGTGCATTTCTGGGCCAAATAAGGATCAGATCCTTGAGTGTATTTCTTGCCACAATCACTTCAATGGCTTATGGGTAAGTTAGGTGGACGTAGCATTTTAAAATTGCCCTGAAGGGTGGTTCTCAAATTAAGTACAGTTCCAAGACCAACCAGCCTCAGAATTGCTTGAGAACTTGCTAGAAATGCAAATTCTTAACACCACCCAACCCTACTGAAGAGAATACTGGGGAATGGGACTCTGAAGTCAACAAGACTTTCTGTGATTCTGATGCAGTCACCTGATGAGAGCCACTGCACCAGGGAAAAGAAACTCTTCTAGCAAGGTGGTTAGTAACAGACAAGAATACAGGTAAAGGGCCAAATCTTAAAAAGTGGGATTTTGAAGAAGAAAATTAAGAAGATAAATATGGCTGATGTGCTTTCTATATAAGAACAAGTACAGAATTTTAAAAACTACTAAAATCACCATAAGAGGGGAACTAAGGTAGAAAGGAGAAAAAATAGAGGGGATTAACCAGTGTGGGTTATAATACACACATACATGGAAATGTCACAATTAAGCTCCCTGTATAGCTATCTTAAACAAACAAAAATGTCTTTTCTTTCAAAAACAGAGAATAGGAAGGTAAAACAGGTCCTGTCTGGGGGTTGTTACCAGTGGGAGGGGGGAGGATAAGGAAAGGGTGTAGGAGGGTGAATGTAGTGGAATATTATGTACTCATATATGAAAATGGAACAACGAGACCTATTGACACTATTCCAGGACTGGGGGAGGAGGATAAAGGAATATGATGGAGGGGGTGAATTCAACTATGATATATTGTAAGAAATTTTGTAAATGTCATATGTACCCCCAGTACAACAATAATTTTTTTTTTAAAAGTGGGGTTTTGAAAATGTTGCTTTTGCCTTTCACTTTTGAAGACACCACTTTTTTTGTAAATGAATGCCCTAATTGTACACTTGCCCCTCCTCCTGAAAATGTTTTGCTTCAGTGAGGTATCAGTGCAAATCCTTCAGAGGAGTGATTCAATTGTAAGAAATCTTAACAGAAGGGCTGACGGAATTCTTCCCATTTAAAAGACTTTCTCCCTTCCTGACAGCTGACATGATTTTTTTCCTCTTTGAACAGCATGGAGAACAAAAATGAACTACAATCTTTTGCCTTTAAAGAAAACAGGACAGGTATAGAGTGTAAACTGCAGCCAGTGTTACAAGGCAGTGAGTGTTTCTGACTTCCATTTTGAGGAGTCTTCACCACCATCTTCATCTCCTTTAAGAACTGACCTATGATTCCAGTCCCAAAGGACAGAATAGTACTTTCTCCTCAAAATAGCCTTTTCAGAACCCTTACCCCTGCTAGGTGTTGCTGATTTCTGGCCTGATTCTTAACTCACAGTGCCCTTTCCTAGTAAAAGCAGACATTTATAGTTCCTAAGATGCTAACAGAAATTAAGGCTGTATTGGATTTGACTGGTGGGAAGGGATGCAATGTCCAGCATGTCTCAAGAGTCCACAGCTACTGCCATTTTCTTTGGGAAGGGGTGTGTTTCTCTATAGCACTCTCTCTGTCTTAATGGCTGTAGCTCTAGGATGGAGGTGTGGCCTCAGTTTAGGGGGGGATGGAATGGAGAATATCTTTTGCAGGCAACTCTGGTCTTTGCAGCCAGGAAGAACTCAGATTTCTAACTCCTTATTGACTGTGAGGGAAAGTTTCAGATTTGCAGCTTGCATTATTCATGCTGTAAAATATTCCCCCACTTGAAATATATTCCCCATTCTGGATTTCCTGATCATTTGTCTTTTTTTCTTCCTCTGAAATACAGCAGAATAGAGAAGTTGGGCAAAATGGCCAGCAGAGTGAGCAGAGGCAGCTGGCCCTGAAGCAGACTGGATGAGAAAAAGGCTTCATACCCCCACAGGGACATGCCAGAAGCAAGTGCTAGAGGAGTCACCTACACAGCTAACAGAGGAAATGTTTGTTCTCTCCCAGTTCCACCCTGGGCGTGTTTCCGAAGCCACAGAAGTGTTGTAGCTCTGAACATATTGTTGGGCTGCCTGTCTGCATCGGCAATTGTTGCATGGATTGCTTCTCACCTAGAGCAGAAGGTTTATCTGTAGACTGGAGTCTACATATGCTTTGAGAGAATATTGGGTCAAAAGGCATCTTCTTTTCAGCTAAACCCATTTTCCCAAAATATCAAAATCTCTAGAAGAATTTGAGAATCTATGAATGCACTATACCTGATAGATCCTACATCATAATCTAGTCAGATTCTACTTTGACTATACTTACTTATCACTTTGAACAGCAACATCTTAATTGATTTTGCTAATCACTTCTGTAACTACTTTAGTGTAACTACTGTAGAGAGTGGTGGGGTAGAGAGCATAAGCTGGACCATTTGAATTTAGAGTTAGTGGAGGAAGCAAAGACTACAGATGCTATTCCTTCCTTGGTCTACAAGTGGTCCAGGGACTCAGTGCAGAAGCAGGGGAGCTAAAACTCAAGCCTTAGGCAGGCATGGTGAGGTATGTCTGTAGTCCCAGCTATTTTGGAGGTGCTGATTCAGAAGAATCGCTTCAGTCCAGGAGTTTGAGGCCAGCCTGGACAATATAGCAAGACCCTATTTCCAAAAAAGGTAAAAAAATAAATGAAATGTGAGGCTTGAGCAGAACCAGCCCCTTCTTTCTCTCTGAGAGGCAACCACTATTCCTTAGACTACCTAGAGGAGTGCTCTACCTAATTCTGTTTCTTGTCTCTGAACCAGGCAATGAGAATGCAAGAGGATGTCAGAGACTCTGTCTATACCACATTCTCGTTCCCTGACCAGTGGCAGAGGCTAGGCTAACTGGAGACGTGTAGAGAGAGGCAGGGTAAAGACTTTTTTTTTACATTAAGAGATGGATAAATGAGGAGAGTACTTGCATTTCAGTTAACGGTTAGAATTCAGATGGAGAAAACATGCCATCACATATATTTCTGGCTTCTGTGTTTACCAACTCACACATCTTTATTTTGCTAGTCACTCTGTTCTCTTTCAAAAGTGCCTTCTTGGGTTCATAAGGGGTGAACTGAAGTGTTTGCATTCTAATTTCAAGAATTTGATGTTTTTTCTCAGAAGGGTGCAAACCCTGTTAAACATACCATTGGTATATGTGTGTGGTAAGCACAATACTTATTAGTGTGGAAGTTGTTAATGAATGAAATGTTCAGATAGTTTCACTCTGAGTCAGTATTGTATTCCTATTTATCTGTGCAAAGGTACTTTAAACAAATTTTTGAAAAACATAAAAAAGGAAGAAAATGTCCACCACTTGCTGATAGGCTTATAATGAATACTTGTGAAATACTCTCCTGCTTCTTTTCCTCCTCCCTCCCCCTTTCCCCCCTCTCTTACACATACATACACATTCAAAGCTGGATCTCCACCATCATTCTCACTGTGAACACTTTGCCATGTCATTTGATGTCCTCTAGCCCTGCATTAGTGGTTCCAGGCTTTCCCATGGCATGGCTACAAGCATGTTGTAAAATCAGCCCTGCTTGTTGGATATTTAGATTGTTTCTGGTTGTTTACCAGTAGAAGTAGCACTGCAGTGAGATTCTTGAAAAACTTGTACACTTGCTTGATTACAGCCTTCACATACTTTAAATAAATTCCTAGAAGTGTTTTTTGCTGGGTCATAAGTTTTGGCTGAACTGCCCTGAGCATGACTTATTTGTTCTAGATTTTGGGGTTCAACTTAAAGCATTTAAATACAAGGTCTGGAACAACAGCTCTCCTCTCCCACTTTATCACTTTTTCTACATTTAGGGAAAGAAGAGACCCTCAAATGAATGCACATCTTAGCAGGGTCTGTCTCTTCATAACACTGTGTGCAAAGGCATGGCAGTAAACCCACAATACTCTTAAAGAGAAGCAGTTTTTACAGCATGTATCCTCTGTATACCTTGATCAGTGTCCAAAAAACTCAGTGAAAGACAATAATTGGACAGCACCCAACCAAATGTTGTAATTGTTAAAAACAATTCAGCCTCAGGGTGCTGCTCACGTGTTCACCAAAGAGCCCCCACTTCTGTGTGATGCTTGGGACAAGTCAGTGTACAGACCAGACAGGACTCCCCACCCTCACCCCTCATGATGCTGCCATCACAGTTGGTGTCTGTGTAGGTATGTATGTGTGGGAGGAGGGTGCAGACAATAAATAATGGACACAATAATTTACATAGTATTTTAGAAAATGATCTAATTTATGGGAACAAAATGGATAGTAGTGTAAGAGGGATAGGACAGGGAACTTACGGTGTGAAGTAAGATATCAGCCTCGCTGTGATACTAGTATATGGGCCAAGACTGCTGATGTGTGTGGTAAGCCAAGCAAGGACGCACCATGGTCCAGATCCTGGAAGCATGTCCTGTTCATTTAATGAAAGTGTGAAACACGCTCTGCATACACCTCCATAAGTAGGGCTAATCAAACAGAAAGTGAATTGGTCCCCAAAGGAACAAAATGCTTTTCATGATGAATGCCAATTCTTTTTCGCATACTCACAGCTAAATAAAATGTGTTCTACCCTGTGGAATTAATGAACTAGTCTTTCTAAAATGGAAGTATGGTCCATGAAATATCTAGACTTAACAGTGGTTGTCTAAACTATGTGAGAAAAGGATAAATAAATTCCATTCGGAGTTCGGTGAAACTCTAAAACTGATGAATTCCTATAAATATTAAAGGTTCAGCCAGAGCATGTTTCTGAAGCCTTTCTTGTTTTACAGTGGAAGAAACTGAGGCACAGGCACTTTGGGAACTTGTAGCGGAGCCAGAGTGATCTGCTCTTGAGTTGCTGTGAGCAGATTCATTGCCTGGTCCATAGTGCTGCAAAGCCCTTTTCACAGCAGGTCTTTCCCAGGGCCACCGTATTTGCACCAGGAACTGATTGATGAATACATTTCTAAGTATCATCCATTATGAAATAATTTCCTATTACCTTTCCTTGAAGTGATCACAGATTTTCTACATTTTAATGTGCTACGTGGCACTGAATGAATTACTGAACTTTCTGTTTTCCTTGAGGGAAAATGTAATACACATATCATGAAAACCAGATGAGGGCCATAAAAGAAAGCTGACTGGAGTTTTGCAAGTCCAGCCATGTAGCAGAACCCAAAGGGTAGAGTTTACCTTCAATGTCAGTGAAGATGAAATTTTTCAGTTTTGGCCTGATTTCTTTATAGACACAACCTAAATCTTTCTTACTGAATCTCACTTTGTCATATCTTCCCTTCAGATGACTACTTTCCAAGAATATTTTTTAAAGGCATTAATACAGCTTTTTAAATATTTTAGACATTGTCACAAATACCTGTTAGATATAGAATTAATGATGAAAAAAAATCATCAAAGCTAGACTTTGCCCCTGTAGTAGGTCCGAGCTGCTATCAGCCGTATGTTCAATAAGAAAAGTCCAGAATCTGGAAAGAACAGTTTCAAGGTGACATTAATCCAGAATTAAAAAACAAAAAAGAAAACAGGCATTTTTAGAATTACAATTAAACCTTCAGTCTTTCCCCACATTTTTTCAGATGTCTTTAATTTGTCATTACTTTTCAAACTCATCATTTTCTTTCTCTTAAATTAAAATCTTACCCCTCTTTTAAAGTTTAATGTCTAACTCAAAATTTTAGCTTTATAGATCTGAAATGCATCATAACTTTTAGCTTCTCACCCCCTCTCCCCTTTCAGAAGCTTTCTTACCATGGTTTCTTTCAATCAAATTGTTAAGCAGTAGGAAGGTGGCTGTAGGAGAGACCAGGAGGTCAACATGTTAGGGGATTTTATTGCCTTGGAAGTGTGCTGTTGTATTATACACAATGCATATAAATCTCAGAAACCCTCTCTAGTTAGCATGATCTCTGTGTTAGAGATGAAACATACATCCCCAGATGAAATTGCCCATGTCTCACAGCATGTAGGCACAATGGTGATATCTACATCTCAGCTATTTTTAATGCAAAGCACACAAGTTTTCAGTCTTTCCTTTCTCTTCCCTTAGCTGCTATTACCTTGGGTCATTTTCCTTAGATTGGGTTTTAAAATTTTGAGTTGGATTGTAGCTTTGTGTGTGTGTGTTTCGAAGTGTTTCCAGAAAATTCCCTTCATTGCTTTGCATAATTCCTACCAGAGGGCCATACCCATATCCATCCCATCTTTCTGGGAGCTGGCAGTCAAGGTAGAGGCTAAATAAAAACAGTCATCCATTGAACAATGATTTACTGAACAAAACACATGTTCTGAAACTGCCTGGTGCTGAGGTTGGGGTGGGGGTGGAAATGAGACTTCCCCTGCCTCTGTCCTGTGGACATACAGCTTGGTGGACAAAGAGACATGGAAATTAGAGATGTGGTAGACAAGGAAAAGGGGAAACAACAGGTGTGTGGAAGAGGGAGGGTTACAAATTAAATTCCAGGTCAGTGGAATGAACTGAAGATGCATTGGGTATACTTGTTGCAGGTATTAAACCTTAAGCAGTGAGTAAAAAATTATAATAAAAGAGATGTGGGCATTGCATATGGGACTGTGTTGTTTATGCAGTTTAATTAAATTCATTTTCTCTTACCTCGCTCTCAATAAAAATGGGTTATTTCTGTTAACCTGGCCCAATAAGAGTTCATAATATTCAGATTCACATTCTATCTTAAGTACAGACTGGGACCATAATAGTTTTATATGAACATTATTAATTAAAGTAGGGTGTTATAATTGTTATCACACCCCTCCTCAAATAACAAGCTTTATTTGGGAGAAAGCAGACATTTACTCATACTTACCCTTTTTTCCCACTTGGCAGAATCCTCTAACTTGAAAAATAATGGAGCAGTCTCAACAAATGTGCTTGAAAATATATTAACTTTTTAGCATTCAGCTCCAAGTTTCAACCAAGTTCTGTGAAAAGAACCGATGGGCTATTTACCCACTGTCCTCTCTGCATAGGATATGGAAGCAGCTATTTCTGTTTATAAAACTATCATACATGATACTCATGGTGCTAAAACAAATTGGTGGAGAAACTGATAATAACCTTCATATTGACTGTTCCTGTGACAGAGACTAGGGAGTATAGACTAATATATGAAAGTGCGTAACATTTGAATATTCTTTGGAAAGAGTTGATCTGCCTGCAAGTATGAGAAGCAGCACGAGCTGTGGAAGATGTTATAGAGTGACTGTAGCTACCTATTCATTCCTGGGGCTTTCTAATCACTCTTTGGACTGTCAGTGTTAAATATTGTTCATCTCAAGTGCTTCCAAGTATGAATTTTTTGGCTAGCATGTTGAAAATCAATCTAGTTGAAATGGGTTATTGCATTTAATTTATGATATCATAGACATGAAAATCTATTTTAATTGATTTTTCCTCAGTTACTCTGTGTAGAGAATTTTGGCCTTTTAAGGTTCTATTTTGTGGTTAAGAGGTAATGAAAGTCATCTCGAGGGTATGGCTGTTGTAGATAGCTTACACGCCTACAGCTCTCCCCAGTTTTTAATTGCTTTCCCAAAGATGGGTGTTGAAGCCAGCTCCCTGATTTATGACTAAGTGACCTGGGGCATGTCCCACTTTCTTCTTCTGTGAAATAGTAATACTAGTAATACTTACCTTTTAGGGTTATTGGGAGGCTCAAAAGCGATAAGGATCAAACAAGAATTAATAGTCAGTACTTCGCATAATTCCTAGCACCTATTAAGCAAATCCTTTAGCAACATTGGCTAAGTACTGTGGGTTTAGGATCATCCTGGAAAGGAGGTGTGTTTGCTTACCCTCATTTTACAGTTGTGACCACAGCAACAGTGACAGTTATAATGCATCCATGTTGCTGAGCAGGTGAAGTGCTAAGTGCTCAATGTACATTATTTCATCAGCGTTCTACAACCACTGTTAAAAGGGGATTTTGTTGTTCTGTAGAAGAGAGTGATTCAGCAGTGTGACCAGACTCCCCCATGTAGGGATATGCCATGCTAGAGAGTTAACCAGGACTGGCTGAAATGCCCTCTTTCCTTGTCAGTCCTGCTGCTGCCCATAGGGACAGGAGCTTGCATTCTGTGGGGTTCCCTCAGGGAGGAGACCACATGCGTCCTCCTAGGGGACCTGGAGGAGAGTTTGTGTTCTTTGTCTGAGTTCACTGCGGCTGGACTATTCTGTGTCCCAGTTCTCTTAACATGCAGGAGCTATTAAAAACAAGACCAAAAAACCCTCATAGCTATATTTTATGTTTATTGATAGGTATAAAGGGCAAATGATACTTGTTTTTTATTTCAAGCCATGACATAAGTGACTTTTAAAAATATGAAATGAGCACTAATCCTGGTGGCCTGCAGCTGTGGCAGAACATTGTCCAGGTGGTATGTGGGTGACTGGATTTGGGGAAATACTGTTGCATATCATACACCTCTGAATTTGTGGATTTCTCTCTTACTTTCTCCATTTATTTTTTTATTTTTAGCCAAACTTCCCCTTTCACCTCCTGCTGAAAAATAGCAATGGTGAGGTCTGACTGTGGTGTGAGCAATGGGTGGGTGGACTGGAGTTAAGGTTCTTTATTTTGTTTGAATTCTGTGAACCTCTGCCATTCTGCATGGACTTCCTGTTGTACCACTCCCTTTAAGGTTACCATTGTGTGCAGGAATGAAGTGTAAAGGGATGCCTTCAGCATTGTGGCTTCTGGGACTTTGCTGATTGCCAGGAAAAGGGGGACTGGGTTATGAGTGCAGTTTCTAAAGCTCTTTGTTGGCATTAAACTTGGCTCTCCTCTGTGAGAGTGGACATTTTCCAAGGCGTTGCCCCATTCCCAAGAGCTCCATGGAGATCATATTTGCGGGAAGCAAATCTATAAAGTAATTAGTAGATGAGTTGATGGACCTGCCTGTGGTGCCCACCCAGGCTCTCAGCCTAATGGCTTGTCTGTCTGGCCGGTGGCCCCTGCCGAAGGTCTGCGGGGAGAGTTAGCTCAGCTGACTGTGGTTTAGTCTAGTGAAAAGTCAAATTATATTTATATGTATCTTTATTCTAAACCCCACAAAGATGTGGGTTAATGTAACTGTTTGCCCTTTGACTAAAGAGGCTGAGCAGAGGATTTAATTTCTAACAGCAGCAAATATAGTTCTAAAATGTAGTTCTAGGATGACCATTTTTACATTTGAGGAGTGAGGGAAGTTAGTTGTCTATAGCAACAGTGAAGTAATCTCTTCTTTCCTTTGCAGTTTGTGTGGAATATGCTCCAACCTAACCAGAGAATTCGGTTTTCAACAACCTCACTGGATCAAATAATCACATTGAACCAGACTGGAGAGGTGGGGGTGTTGCTCACTGTCTCACCCTCCCCCAACATCCCTTGCGAGACCTTTCCTTCATCTGTGAGTGTTATTTTAAAGTTTAGGTGGATTGCTTAGCCCCACTCCCTGAATGTCAGCAAAAGTGTAACCAGCAAGTTCAAGGGCTTTGAGGGAGGAGGAGAAAGATCTTGCTCCAGAGGCTGTCTCTGACATCTTGAAATGACCAGTTGCTTTCTTTTAAAGCTTCTGGTTTCTAATTTTATCTGGAAATCCCTAGGCTTGTGGGTTAAAGGGGAATACACTGAGACAGGAGGAGGCAGAAAGCAGAGCATCTTGGAACCTGGAGCCACTTCTCCCAAGTCTGCGCTTAGCCAGCAGCAGGTACAGTTCCAGAGAAGGAAGTGGACCCCTGAAGAAAGATACATTTTACCTTCTTCTTGGACTTACCTGAGGCAGGTCAGAGCCCAATATACTGTATGAAGTGCCTGTTGCAGCCTGGTTGTTTTCTGCACTACAGAAGGCTTTAGGTATATTAGTGAGAACCACTACATCATGAACTGTAGACACAGATGCAGTTTATAGCCTTAATTTACTTAGTACTTAGATGCAGGCCGCTTTTGACTGTCTTTCATTCCCTTGCCACCTGGCCTAGAAGCAGTCTCAAGGCTGCCTCTCATTGTCTTCCTCCACACCTCATTTCCTTGTCCCTAGCTCCAAGCCTTTCCACTCATCCTGTTTTAATGTCAATGAAACAAAAACACCTGCCAACAAACTCCTAACCAAGTTCTTTGCACTAAGAGCAGTTTAGTGATTGGATTCCTATATGTGCTTTCATTTGGAATGAAATTTTCAACTCCTGGGAGCACTGCAAATAAATATAAAATAAGTAGGCATCTCTGCCATTAGCCATGTTAGAGAATACATAAGCATTTATTTCCCTTAGGGGTAAGTCAGGCCTCAAAAGAGATAATAAACACAGTAAGGTTCATTTCCTTTTCTGTACCCATCACCTAGTAGGTATCAGCTGCTATCCCTTGCTTGTGAAAACAGATACTTCATTGTACAGGCAAACATCTGCTCACCACCATTACTGCATTTTTGTTTTTGTTCTTCAGCTAGCTTAGGCTAAGTGGGGTGTTAAAGTGTTGTAACATCGTCAGGATTAAACCCCAAGGGATGAATACAAAACCTTATTCTGTTGTGCTTTCTAACACATTCTGCTTGCTCTTCCCTTCCTCCCCTCTGCAGTGCCTTTGTGAGAATACTCTGGTGACCTGGAAAACCCTCACTCTCCTCCTAGCCAGATCTTCCTTTTGCCAGACTCTGCCTTGGGCTTTGTGTTCTTTTCACATTGGTCCTTACCCCTGGAAGAGTTCACTATCAGTGTGCCTGGGTTGGTTTCTCTGTAACCTTATGCCCCTTTCACATGTTTGTGTGTTGTACCTATACACAGGCTGCTTTGCCGTTAAAAATACAGACATAGGACTCAGAAATGTTAAAAGTCTGAGTGTGCCCTTAGACTTTGTCTCTGTTTCTCGGGACTTCAGTGTCTCTGTCAGTGAAATGAACGATTATCTCTTCCCTGCCAGTCACATACATTTGTGGTGAAGAACTAAAAGTAGTGATGTGTGTCAAAATGTGCTTTTTAATTTGTACCTCAGTGAGTTATGCTTGTATTATGAGTTTTTTAAATTCAGAAGTGTTTTTTATGTTAGCACATGGCAAATTTGATTACATGTAGTGTTCCCTGCTTCTGTTGCTCCAGGGAGTTGAAATTTACAATTGAAATGACAGCAAAAGTGGAAGAAATGTATTTTTGGTTTTTAAGCTGCTGAGAACTTAGATGCTAGAAGTGTAATGGTATTTTGACAGCGATTTTAGGAATGTTCACAGGTAATGTTGACCATATGTAATTTGAGCACTGACCACAACCAAACCACGGTGCATTTACGTCGTATGTCATGAGCTACAATTATTTAGCTCAGTGCTGAGTGGATGTTAAGAATAGTATGTAACACAAGGAAGTTATAAGATTAACAAACAAGTATAGTATTTGCTATTTAGAAAAATTTGGACATTCATGCTACTTATTATTTGATTTGAAGGAACTACCAAACCCATTCCTTATTAGCTCTGGAATAAAATAAAACATTAAACATAGTGTACATGAGGTCATTTAGGGCATAGGCAATGTTCTGTCAAGATTTCAGTTGCTCTCTTTCCTATGGCCATTTATGGAAACACATACACACACACCCTGGAGAAAGTCCAGTATTGCCCAGATAAGCAAAAAACCTCAAGTTGTCCTATTGAAGGAGTTTTTTCTCTCATGGTAACTGGTCTTTGATGTTAAAGAATCATAACTTTCATATTTGTCTACTCAGGTTGTAAATTCTGTAGTTCTATTGTAGATCAGAAGAGAGTGATATTTTTATAGCACATTTGAACAACTGACATGTCCATATCACCTCACCTGGGAGCTGATGGTGGTGGAGTGGAACTTGGGAACAAAGCAATGACTGTGCATATAGAGAGGAAAACAAGCAGCATGTGAATACCTTCCCTATGAAGAAGATATTAAAAAGGAGCAGAAATGCCCACAGCTGTTGAAGACTCCTTGAGTTTCGTAAAAGACTGACACATATCCCTTCTCCTAAAATAGAACAAAACAACACAAATGCTGTTTGCGATTTAGAGAAACAGGGAGAAATTTAAGCCAGTCTGGCTGTTTTGAAAATGACTTTTCTTAGACAGGTGTGGTGGTGCATGCCATAATCCCAACTGCTCAGGAGGCAGGATCACAATGTGAGGTGGAGACCAGCCTGAGCAAAGTTAGTGAGATCCTGTCTCAAAAACAAAAATAAAAGGGCTAGGGTCACAGCTCAAGTGGTAGAGCAGACCCTAGCTTTAATCCCCAGTAACACACACGCACACACACACACTCACACATAAATAAATAAACAAATAAATAAAATGAGAAAAGGAAGGAAGGCTGAAAGTTACTTTTCTCAGCTGTACCTTTAATCCATCTCATTTGAGGAGACCACCAGACTTGCCCTGGTACCTAACCACAGTACAGGTTCAGTATGCTGTATCTGAAATGCTAGGTTTGGATTTGGGGAGTTTTTCCGATGTTATAATATTTCCACATGCAGAATGATGTGTCATGGGACCTTAGTCTGCACATGAAGTTCATTTACATTTCATATACACCTTATACACATAGCTTGAAGGTAATTCTATATCATGTTTTAAATAATTTTCTTAACAAAATGTAATTGTATGGTGAGTAATTTCCGCATGTGGTGTTATGGCAGTCCTGAAAAAGTTTTGGATTTTGGAGCATTTCGAATTTTGGATTTTTTGAATTGGGGATACTAAATTTTCAGTGATAGTAAGTAGTGGTTGTGGCTTGGGAGCAGTATGGAGCTTGGTAAAATAGCTTCTCTTTTGCAGAACTTAGAAGACTATGTGTTAAGAAAATACAATGGCTTTAGAAAGTGAATTTTCTTTTTAAATTTTTTTGAATTAGCATATAATGATAATACAGGGGAGTTCATTGTGACAGTTCCATAGATGCATACGGTATACTTCGAATAAGTTCTGTTTCTTCATTATATTTATTTATCCTCCCTCCCTTTCTCCCCTCCTCAGACAGTGTTTGGTGGGTTTCATTGTGCTGTCTTTGTACTTTGATCCTCTTCACCTCTCAGTATCATCCCATTTCTCCTACCCCTTCCCAATGATCCCCCCATAATCCTTCACTTACATTCATGTCCCATTAAATATTGCTATTATCATCATCATTTTAGGTCTAGGTTCCAAAAATGAGTAAGAACATGTGATATTTGACCTTTTGGACTTGGCTTAACTCACCCAGTGTAATGATCTCTAGTTCTATCCATTTTCCTGCAAATGAAATAATTTCATTTTTCTTTATGGCTGAGTAGTATTCCATGGGGTGTGTGTGTGTGTGTGTGTGTGTGTGTGTGTGTGTGTAACTTTTTCTTTGTCCATTCATCAGTTGTTGGGCACCTCTGCTGATTCCACAGTTTGGCTATTGTGAGGAAAGCTACAATAAACATGGGTATGCAGGATGTTTCTCTTGTGTATCATTTTATATTCCTTCAAATATATGCCCAGGAGTGGTGTGATGTGGTCATAAAGTAGGTTATTTAAGGAACCTCCATACTGATTTCCATAGTGATTGCACTGCTTTACATTCCTCACCAATAGTATATGAGCGTTCCCTTTTCCCACATCCTCACCAGCATTTGTTATTATTTATTTTCTTGACAATTGCCAATCTGACTGGAGTGAGATAGAATCTTAGTGTAGTTTTGATTTGTATTTCCTTCACGACTAAAGGATATTGGACATTTCTTTATGCAATTATTAGCCGTTTGTATTTCTTTTGAGATTAATCTGTTCATTTGCCCTTTTATTAATTGGATTATTTACTCTTTTGATATTTAGTTTTTTGAGCTCTTTGTAAGTCTGGATATTAATCCCTTATCTGTGGAATAGCTGGCAAAGATTTTCTCACATTTTTATGGGTTGTCTCTTGATTCTAGTAATTGTTTCTTTTGATGTGTAAAAACTTTTAAATTTGTTAATTTAATTTGTTAATTCTTGCTCTTATTTCCTGGGCAATTGAGGTTGTATTTAGAAATAATTGTCTATGCCTATATTGTCCAGAGTTTTTCCTGTAATTTTAAAGTTTCAGATCTTACAATAAGTTCTTTGATTGATTGGAGTTGATTTTTGTAGAGTGAGAGGTGTGTTGAGAGGCATCTAGTTTCAGTCTTCTGTGTATAGATAACAAGTTTCCCCAGCAGCATTTGTTGCAGAGGCTATCTTTTCTTCAGTGTATGTCTTTGACTTCTTTGTCAGAAAAATAAGATGGCTGTAGCAATGTGGTTTTATTTCTGGGTTTTCTGTTCTGTTGGTCTCCATATCTGTTTTTGTGCCAGTAACATGCTATTTTTGTTACTATGGTTCTGTAGTATAATTTGAAGCCCAGTATTGTGACACCTCCAGTGTTGCTCTTTTTGCTCAGGATAGCTTTTGTTATCGTTTATGCTTATATGTGTATTTGAGGATAGATTTTTTTCTATTTCTCTAAAGAATGACTTTGGGACTTAGAGCATTGGCTGAATTTTCTGAACTGTGTTTTAGTTCTTTAGGTATGTCGTCTGACCTATAATATAGTATATGTTCTGCTGTTTTCAGATGGAATCTCACCATATTTTCCATTTGTCTGGCTTCCTACACTCAGCATAATATTTCTGAGGTTTTTATGCATGCTCTTTGTATCAGTAGTTTTTTTTTCACTCCTTTTATTGCCTCTTTGTATTCCATTTAGCATGTACTAGAGTTTCTCCACTTAGCTCTTGGTAGATATTTGAGTTGCATGTAGTTTTTGACAGAGCAAGAACTGGGCCTCGCCACCTAGAAAAGGCATCAGACTTTCTCTGAGGTTTCTGACTGCTGCTACCCTTATTTATATGTAACAAATGTGTTTGTCAATATCAGTAACTTGGTAATTCACAATGGAAATTCTTCAAAAATTCTCCGTTGGCTGATTAAGCTCACGTAGTCATCTTGACGCGGAAGGTCATTTTTTTTATCCTGTTCTTTAAAATCTGCCATACAAGAAAATTACCTTAAAGACATACTGGAAATAAGTAAGAGATGAAGGAAAATATATTTGTTCTGGTTCCTCTACCTAAGTTTTGATTCAAAGACCAAAGTCCCTACTACGCAGACACTGCTTAGAAGGGATCTATTTTTATATGCAGAGAGTACGCATCTATCTCTCAAAGTAAAAATTCTAAATATTATTAGAGTTTTCTGTGGCTTGAGTAGCGAGAGGAGGCTGGTGGCACAGGAGACTTGTGTCAGATCTTGAAAGTGGAGATACATTCCCAGAAGGGGATTGATCTGGACACAGGACTATAAGGTCCATTTGGAAGAAAATGAATCATGGCCCTGTTGAGAGGTTCTGGATCTTAAAATTATACAGGTAGGAAGTAGCCAAATTAAAGATCATTCTTTAGGCTGCACTGTAAAGTCTGGAGTTTTCCTAGAAGTACTTGAGAGTTATTACAAATATTTTATTAGGGCAGTGATGTCTTTAGTATTTAAGAGGATTAATTCCTGTATTTAGTTTTACATTTATGTGTAGCAAACATGGTTGTTTACCAGTTCAGATAACTAAATTATCCCAAAAAGGAATAATTTTAAAATTTCTCTGGGCAGGAGGTGGAGCTCAAGTGGTAGAGTGCCTACTTTGTAAGCGTGAAGCCCTGAGTTCAAACTCCAGTTCCACCAAAAAAGAAGAAAGAAAAAAAAATCTCACAAGTAGATTATACTTAGTCTTCTTGATCAAAATGATTATGTTCCTATATACCCTGTCTTGTTTTATAAATATTTTATATGTCCCTGGATACTATGATAAACACAGGAAACCATGACCTGTTAATTTTATCTTTCTGACCTCATTTAATCAGGCTTGTCGTACAGATTACACAGCTCAACTTCCTCTCCAGAATGTCAGTTCTCTGTGTTCTTTTTTTTCAGATTGAAAGATAATAGAATGAATAATTGCTTACATGGTTGGTTTATTTAGAAATAAAATTTGACATCAATAAATATTGACAGTGACAGTAGGGAGACAGTAGAAAATAATGTTCGTAATATGAAATATATGAACCGGCTCCAAAAATACAACTTGTCTCCTAATATTTAGCATTCATATTTCTTGTAGTGTTACATTGTATATTTAAAAGCTAATTTTGGGTTATATCATTATTCAAGAAGAAACTGTTTCTTACTAAAGGTAAGTTCATTAGTCAAACAATGCCATAAAACATTAAGTCTTTTAACTCATAATTCATAGTTCGGTCTATTTGGACTTTTGATTGAAAAGCGTTGTTACAGATGTATGAAATTTGACCATCAACTTTAAACACCAAGAATGTTTGATTTGGATGGAGTAGGTTATTTCGAAAAATGTAGCCATAGCACCGTCCCAGGATTGAGTTGACTTGTTAATATGATTTGCTATTATTACTATTGACGAGTGTATATTGTTTAGAACACGTGTAGGTGAGGTGTACTCATGCACTCTGTACTATAGCAAGCGTTCTGTTACTGCTGATGGTTCTCCTTGTTGCATCTACGACAAGGGGCGACCTCAGGGTATTGGTAACTCATAACTATTGCCCACCGTTAGGTAGAATTGGGTCTAGTAAGGTCTGAAGGGCTGATGTTTATGCTTGAGTTGGTATATTTTACAGTGCAGAGCTAAATTATTGGTCAAGATTGGTAAGTAATTTATGCACTTAGCCTGTTTGAGAGCCTTAATGACAATGAGACTTCTCCCATCCAAGGACTAACCAGTCCCGCCCCTGCTTAGCTTCTGAGATCAGATGAGATCGGGCATAGACATGATGGGAATTGTACAAAGTTTTATTCCTGCATGTCCTTTTAGACCTGTCTGGTCCTCTTCTGTCACGTTGCATTTCAGAATAATCCCTATTGGATGAGCCAGTTCCCAATGGCATATGGCTTTGATTAGTAGAAAGAACTGTAGCTGAGAGTCAAGATTGTCTTCCTGCTGTGTGCTCCTGCATGCTTCCACAGCCAGGTGTTGTCGCTCTTCCATCCACTTGGAGAAAGCCTGCCTGTGTCCTCCCGAGGAGTGCTTGGGGATGGACTTGCACCGTGGGTTTGATTCTAAACATGTTCCCCTTCTGCTTATCTGCCCTATTTGCAAATTTGGGGATTGTTCCACAGGAGTTCATAATTTTACTAAATG